GAGGAGAAAACAGGTAAGTCATGGTTGTGCTATTGTAGCATTTAGATGATACAAACTCTATACAGAAAACATTAAATAAACCCATCCTTCAGCTCAGAAAAGAAAATCTGAAAGGGAGCACAAGTCTGTAATGTCAGGTATGGCACGGAAAAGAGGAACACTTGTGTGTCCAAGTGTGACATTTAGGGAGTAGCAGAACAAAAAAACCAAACCCCCAAAGCAACCAGACAAGTGAAAATACTTATGGATTTCCACAATTATGTAAATCAGTGCTTCAAGATGTTAAAGGCCGGATGTATCAACTGGCTCAGAAACAGACCTGAAACTAGACAGCAATGTAATGCAGGAAAAAATTACTACTGACAAAAGAACCCCAAACCAGTGTCTTTATTATTTAAAAAAAAAATATTAATCCTAACATCTATTTTCTGCAATCAATTTTCCCAACTTTGAGGGCAAAATGCCAGAATCTGCAAACCAGTATTACTGAAGAGTAAAACACTGCTGAAGAATCTTGGGAGGTCTGCTGAAAGCTACACTGTGCCATGCCAAATTGCTATCTAATTAGTCACCTTAATAGTGTCTCTTACTTCTTGTCTTTGCAGTGCTTCCTAAGTACTATCAGGGTCAACTACAGCAGTAAGTTGAGTCTTCAGCTGAATTTAAAAATGAAAATAACTCTATTTATTCTTCTTTCTGTAAGTAGAGACTAACTCAAAACACATTTCCACATAACAGGTATGAACCTAATATTCTATCTTTATTCAAACCTACAACACATCCTCAAATTTCAACTAGTGCACCAAAATGCCACCTCTTTTTCTATGTAAATAGGAGTCTGTATTCTTAATTAGAATACTAGTAACAAAATGCATAGAAAATATACATGCTGGCTAATCACTTCTACACCTTTTAGACTTGACAAATATATTGATAGCTGTGTTGTCATACATATATTCCTTAACATGAATAGAAACTGTTTTCCAGAAACAAGTTTATAACTTGAATCGTAAGTACATCAAAAGTGCACCTGGTTTGAGTAAACAACTGTACTGGTTTTGTGCTGGGATAGAATTAAATTTCTTCACAGCAGTTTGTACACTGCTGTTTTGGGTTTGTGATGAAAAGGGTTGATAACAAATGGATGTTTTAGTTACTGCTGAGCAGCACTTGCACAGAGTTAAGGTCTTTTCTGCTTCTCACACTGCTCCACCAGTAGACTGGGGTGTGCTCAGAAAGTTGGGAGGAGTCACAGCCAGGGCAGCTGACCCCAACCAAAGATATACTTCATACTATAGGACCACATGTTCAGCAATAAAAGCTGGAGAGGAAGGTTGCTAGGGCTGCTCTTTCTCAGGAACTAGCTGGGCTTTGGTCAGCTGCAGATGAGAAAGTAGAGGGTTTTACCATCACTTATTTTTCTTGGGTTTTGGTTTATGTTTTTCTAATTTATTTTTTTTCCTTTATCTCAAACCATGATTTTTCTTAGATTTACCTTACCAGTTCTCCCACCCAGCCCAAAGAAGGGGGAGTAAGAGGCTGCTTGGACTGTAGCTGCCTACTGGGATTAAACAACAACTGGTTTTGGCAGCAAACATGGAGCTCAAAGGGTTTGAGCTAACGACAGACTTGACTAGAGCGTGTTAGAGGGAGCAGGAGGGTGCATCAGAAGCCTGTTCTGCAGTGGAGCAGCCACAAGAAGAGAAGGGGGAAGGGACAGAAATAATAAACAAGTTTTTGCATTTTTACCCTTACAATTCTCTTCCCCACCCACGGGGGGAGTGAGCAAGCAGCTGTGTGGGCCTTACCTGCCTGCCAGGGTAAACCACAACATTAACTTTCATTTTCACACTGAAGTTGACTGTAAGTAGGGTTTTAACCTGCAAATTGGTATTTTTCAAGAGGGTGGACAAGTATCAATTGTTTTGACAACACAACATCAAAAAATGTGATTGAACAGGAGTGCAACTTACATCACAGATAAACAAGTGAGAGTCACATTATTCCTGGAATTGGAAAATTCACATAGGGATGCTTTGGTGTAATACATATGAAAGAACTGAGGTAACACCTGAGCAGGGCTGACAGTTAGAAGGAAGAGCTGAGCTGGACAGGTGAAAGGCAGTGCTGGGATGAAGATCCTGGTGGTTGGTGAGGAAGAAGGGGAAGAAGGTGCCCTAGCAGAAGTTTCCCTGCAACCCATAGGGCTGTTCCCCTGCATTCATGGAGGAAAGTGGTGGAACGTTCCCTGAAGGCAACAGGAGGGCTGAACTTGGCCAGGGGACCTGGATTTTGTGGACAGTGGACTCGGATTATGCAGCTGTGGAAGCCCCCGGGCCAGGGGAGGTGGCTGTTCCCAAAGCAGCCTGTGACTCTGTGGGAAGCCCAGGCTGGAGCAGCTCCGGACCTCGTGGGAAGGACTCAGGAAGGAGAGGTTCGTGGAGGACTCTCTCCCATGGGAGGGACCCCATGGGGAAGCAGGGACAGACTGTAAGGAATTCTTCTTCCTGAGGAGGAAGGAGTAGCAGGAACCACCAGCCTGTGAAGTGACTCTAAACCTCATCCCTGTCCCCCTGTGCCGCTGGGGGGAAGGAGGGACAGAAACTGGGAACAAAGTGATTTGGGCCTCGGAAGAAGGGCGGGGTGGGGTAACATATGCAAGCCCTGCTCTGTGTGTGTCTGTGTCCTGTGTGTGTTTGATTAGTGTGAAATTAAATTATTATTTTTCCACCTGTTTTGCCTGGTACCTTCATCGGTGAAGATCCCTCCTTGTCCTTTGTCTCAACCCAAGAGCTTTGTCCTCCTCATTTCAGAGTGAGTGTGTGTGGGGGGAAGTTGAGTGAGCTGCCATGGGGCTGCTCCTTTGTTGCCATGGTGGGCCCAAACCTTGACAATGCACTTATTTATAGCTGTTCAAAAGCCATATCTGACAATCACAGATGGATCAGACAGAAGGAAATTCACAGGTCTGAACCTCTGCAGAGCTAAACAGTGTTTGATGATCTGGAATAAAATCTTTCCTGTGGAGAAAGGAAACGGTCCGGTCTTCTGAATGATTTGTATAAAGGAGTGTACTTCTTGGATACAGAGTCAGTTTTCCTCAACTGATTCCTGGAACACATCAGCTGTAAAGTGCTTCCAAACAATCCATCACCTGACTAACAAGATGCGTTCATTTGGTTCCTCATGCAAGGAAAGACATGGGTATGATATTACTGAATGTGAGCTTCAGGAATACAAAGTCAGCTTGTGCTAGCTCTTCGAGATGAAGAACAGTTGAATGCAATTGAAAATACAAATTCTCTTTCTCCCCGCCCTCCCTCTGGAAAGTAGGCTGTCCTAAAGAAACTGACAGTAACAGCTCCACCCTCAAAAAGAGGAAAGCACTGTATAATGTATTGTTAGGTATTTCTGTGCCATACCTACACACCCTAAGGGCTCTTCCAATCACTCTTCCACAGTACCTCATTCTTTTTATTTCTCTAATGGAGCTGCATCCTGGCCTAATTTCAAAGTCTGTTTTGCACAGACAACATAATCTAGTCTGAATTGTAAATACCTAGCTGCTTTTTGACACTTTTGAAAGAAAAGTGTACATTCTGAAAACTATTTATGTCAGAGAGATACTGTTCTTAATTGTACTTTCCAGATTAAAATATCATCCTTTTCATTGCAGCAGTGGAGATAAAGTGGACATCAGACAGAAAAATTTCCTCTCTGCAAAGAAAGGTGGTGCCTACAGCTTGCACAGGTAAGTCTAAAACTACTACTTCTTTGTTTCACTGGACAGAATTTGGGCATTGGCACAAAAATGATCATTAGACTTCTAAACAACTGAATTAAACAATTACTTTGTGATTCAACAATTATGTTGTAATAAAAGAGTTTAATACATTTTGGTTCAATAATCTGCATGGGGCTTAGTGTACACTAAAATGCCACAGTTAAAAAAGTTTGTTTCACTTTTAAGTTGACAAACATAGCCTACAGCATATTTTTTAAAATTACTTTTACAACTTTTTGCTATCTAATCAGCTGTCTGGACTTTTTATCATAGCTACACTGAATCTTCTTGGTATCTGAATTAATTTGCTTACAGCTGTTTCAAAAAAATTATTATCAGTCTGTGACTCTGAGATGTTAATTTTTTCTATATGATTTTATTTGGAACAAAAGCCAACTACGATACACTTCACTAAAATAGTATCCATATAACAAGAAAATCTCTCTTTACTACTAGTCAGTAAGCTGAAATGCCAGTTTTCATATGCAGTTATTGTACAGAGTTTTGATTTCTTATTTGAAGTCTGGAAATTGAGAAAAGAGTGAAAACTGAACTTGGAAAAACAGTATTGCAGTTTTTAACAATCAATTTGTATGCTTAAAAATACAGACTGAATTGTTTATGCAAGACATACATGTAAAATTAGACCTCTGAATAAAATATCATTAGATACAGATATCAGCACAAAATAAATGCATCTAGCCAGATTCTTACATCGTGCAAAGTTTAATTTAAATTTAAATGGAGGTACAGGATATTCCTCTGCATTTCTGAAATTAAAGTAATACTTTGCACTTACTATGTTTATTTAACTTAAAATAGTCTAGAAGTGGTTCCTAAAGTAGGTTACAGATGTTAGAGAAGATTAAAAAATAAACCAAGACCACACAAGTTGTCAGACCCTAGCTTGAACCTTCTGTTTTCCTCATTTATTTGATTAGATTCTATGCATGTAAAATCTTTGGGGTTTAACGTAAGTCAACTTCTCTTCACATAATCCCAGTGGAAGAGGACACCCAAACAGTAACCTTATGCAAACTCAAGATGGTAACCTCAGAGGACAAACAGCAGTTAATAGCACTGAAAAGCAGGGGAGAAAAAGGAACAGTTAAAATAAGAGCAAAAATTAAAACAGATGTTAGGTGCATGGTACAGAAGAATAATTATTTTAATTCAGTTGCAGCTCTGACCATTCATTCAAGAAATATTGGCATAAATGAGAAATTCAACATGTCTTCAGCCATCAGTAGCCACTACTGTAGCTCTACCAGTCATCTACTCTTTCCTATGTCCTGCTGGGAGTTTTGGAAATATTCTTGCCGTCTGGATATTATCAAGGCAAGCACCCACAAAAAGAACACAATGCATTTACCTGGTCAACCTTGTCATTGCAAATTTACTCGTATGCAGCACTATGCCTTTCCTGGCTGTTTATTTTGCAAGAGGGTACCAATGGACTCATGACTCTCTAACATGTAAAATAGTACATCACGTCGGGACTCTCATTATGCACGTCAGTATGTATGTTACGATTACAATTTTATGTTCAATTGCTTTAAGTCAGTATGCAACACTGAAGAAAACAAATGATACACAATTCTCTGAAGCAGCTAATGAAAACTTTTATAGATGTGTACTTGAAAAGTTTCGTCAGCCAAAATTTGCTAAATATTTGTGCATCTTTATATGGCTTATTGTGCTGTGCATAACAGTAACAGCTATAGCATATGGTGCCCAGGAGAAGGCTTTGCAAGGAACTTCCAGATGCTACAGCAGCAACGTAGAAGCTGGTGAATTTTATGCAATGATTGCAGCTTCTCTTGCCACATCATGGTTTTTTGTATCATTTATGATGGTTTTGCTGTCATACTATTCTCTTACCAGACATTTGAGTAAAATACAAAGAAATACCTGTATTGGAGGAAAACATTTAATTTATGGAACAGTGAAAAGAAACATTCTTGTAATCCAGGTGATATTAACTGTCTGCTTTCTTCCGTATCATATTTTTAGGCCAGTTTTTTATATTCTGGTTATAAATAAAGACTGCCCAAGGTTAAATTATCTAGTAGAAATAAAAAATTTCCTTACTTGTCTTGCGGCTGCTAAGAGTAGCTTAGATCCAGTTATAACTCTTCTGCTAGATAAAACATTTAAGAAAAGTCTGTATGGCCTGTTTAAAAAATCTACACCAGAACATCACAAACGTAAAGCTGATATTTTCACTGATGAGATTCCCGAAATGTAAAGAAATATTGAAAGATGTTAGTAGAATATAAGTAACAATAAACTAATTTAAACTACTTACAACCAGACTTTGACATGAAATGGTAAATATTTAAGCAAAATGAGAAAGTTGCTTGTATTTTTTTTTCAAATGATCTTGCTTGCTCCATCAACAATAGCCATAATAAATACGATATGCATATCTAAATGAATCCAAGCAATTGATACACTGAATTATGTAATACCCTTTATTGATGCAATGCAAAAGACATTTTATGTTTGACCTATAGACAGTGTTCTCTACCAAAATAATCAAGGAAGAAGTCAGAAGCTAAGCAGAAGTTGAGGACCCAGTTCTCCTTTATCATCAATAAATGAACCCTGGGTTTTGGACACATGTTTCCTTTATGAAAAAAGGTTGAACAGAACACAGATGGTTTCTCTGAAATGGCTGAACCACATATCCAAGGCTTAAGGAAGCAGGCACAGGGAACTATAAAACACACTGAAGATTAACATGTATTTTTGGTTCAGGAGTATTTGGGTAAAAGGTTGATTCTTTTTTGTTTTAATGGGTAATGCATCATAAGATGTTAAAACTCTTCAGTGCATAAAGAAAAGTTATGAATGACATCTTATTCTGAAGTTACTTAAAAATACCATTATTTAGTTTAGCTATGTCCATCACAGAAGGCACCTTTTTCACAACTGGAGGGTTTGTGATTGGGTGGTTGGTTTGGTTTTGTTTTTTTGATGTGTCCAAGTTAGAATATCATAAATAACTGCAGTAGAGATTTGAATTCTCTTCAGCAATTTATGTAGAAGACACTTAAGATTACACAAATGCCTCTTCCTTTGTAAAAACTTTCTGCAACTGAGATAAAAAATGATGTCTCCTTTAAATTCTTGAATTGCATCAGAGTTATTCTTGCTTTAAATATTGGAAAAGCTTCCACACAGTACAGGCAATTTGAGAAACTACAAACTGAGTAATATCATTTGACAGAATACTTCATGGAGGAAAAATCCCCCAAAATAGAAAGGCATGAAGGAGTGACAGAGAAATACTTCAGCTCATGCACTAAACTTCTTGCGCTGCTTAGACAAGCTGGTGCCAACTCAGAAGTTAGCAAGTGACTTGCGAATTGTATAATAAAAAGTAAAATAATTAATTTCCTTAGCAGGAACACAAAACCCTAAGTCAAATATGCACAGCACATAGTTTAAAAGACTGCAAGCCACTTTCTACTTTCTGGTTAACTAGTTGAAACGTGCTGAATGAGTGGTGAGCTCATCGACCAAAAGATATATGTTTTCTGACAGGCCAGGCAAATGACTGGAATATATAAACTTCCTGATCAGAAAGCATGTAGATGTTGAGCTCAGTAGCCCAGGCAGCATAAACATTCTTCTCAGCAAAAATTTCTCTGAATACCCAGCAGCCAGCTAACAGTACACTAGGAAAAGGGCAGGACAGGTAGGAAACACAGGTACAGGAATGGACATAAATGGGGGAAAAAGGGAACTGCCTGATGAAACACTGAGGAAAAATGGCTGAAAGCTTTATTCTGGGAGCCTCTTAACTTCTGTATTGAATGAAGAAGTATCCTTGAGGGAACTCATACATACTGAGAGAAACTTACAATACACATTTTGGATGTCTACGTTTAGCCAACAAGCTTACCCTGACTCCAGTTGCACACCAATCATTTTACTGATCACAGAAACATATAAGAACACTCAAGCCTTATGGAAATAGCAGAACAAAGTTGGAGATTTTGGAGTGAACTAAGGATAAAATCCCAGCAACTAAAGTTTTTGATGGGATTAAATTACTCTTGTGTCAGTTATAATAAAAGGTATTTTTATAACAAGATGAAATACTATGTAAGTATCACAATATAGGCAACTGAAGACTGTAAGACTTCTTAATGTTTTACTGACAAAAAATACATGTTGAAGTTATTACAAAAATGAACAGGCAAAAAAAATCTGCTTCTGTCCTGCTTCATAACTTATACTATGCTTAAACAGTCTGTGTCTTTAGCTGAACCATATTCTACTTTCAGTAACTAGCACAGAAGTGTTCTACCAGGATCAATGTTAGTCTGTTGTTTTACTAACAGGTAACTCAGTGAAACTCTCAAGACAAGATAAATCACAGACTAAGAATATAACAACTCAAAACACTGAACTCTGACCAAATGTGACTGAAAGACACTTAATTCTCACAGGGACTTCAAATTTTCCTGTGCATCAGATAATGATCAAAGATTTTGTGGTTCAAAACAATATCCACAAAAAGCTTAAGAGGGGGAAAAATGTAGAATGAGTATACTAAGCTTACAGATTTGTATTAATTCACTTACATCCATTCAGATAATTTGGAAATCAGTCATTTAGTCTACTTAATTTCAAAACAATGTCGACAGTGACATCTAAAGGTGGGATATTGCAGTTCGCTTAATATGTTCTACACCTAAATGCTACAGTTAGATTTCTGCTCTGCTTTTGCCAAAATAAAACCCTGTGTGTTGGTTTACACTACTTTGGACTGATACATTAAAAATTCTTACTCACACAGGCAACCGAAGAGGTTTATTTCTAAGGATGGTATTTAATAAAACAGTGCTTTTAAAGTTCTCAGAGACTAGATAAACTGCAAAATAAGTTCCTATTTTAGACTCAGTAAAATGGCCTCCCTCAGAGGCCCTTGAAGCTGAAATCTGCTTTAGTTCAAGAACATGGTCCAACAAAAGGAGGTGCAGCTTTCAGGAAGACACAACAACATTAAGATAACATTAATTCTGAAATTCTTGTGTGGTACCAAAATTGAACAACTAAAAGAATCTAGACCCTTCAAAGCAGAACAAGAAGAGACATTCTATAATCAATTAACAGGCCATCTTTAGAATTTGCTGCAACAAATTACTTTTAAAATACAAAACTTTAAATAAGAATTTATTACATGGAATAATTTTCTTGATTTTATAAGGGAAGGAACATAAGATTGGGAAAGGTCTGCAATGCCTGCATAAACAAGACCAAATGGCTCCTTAAATTAAAATAATCAGTTCAATGTCTGTACCCACTTTCCTCACAGGTCACCTGCAGGAGTCTGAGAGAATGTGAGCTGTTTTTCAACCTCTTCTATGCACTAAACCCCAAGATTCACTTCTCAAACTGCACCATCAGAGCTCATTAGAATTTTCATTAATTCCTACAGTTCTTGACTCACTTTGGATAAAAGCAAACTTTTAGAGAAGTGGGAGTAACTATCTTAACACAATGACATAGACAACATATATTTTCAAATTGAAGAGAGTGAAACCCACTAAGCTTAAAACTCCTAAACGCTTACATTACCATACTTTGGGATAGACTAGTTCTATAAATATCCATAGAAGCAGTACAAAATTAACCAGATCAAAAAGAGTATGTATGTACATACATTGTTCTTAAGCACAGTATTTCCTCTCCCCATCTTGTTTGTATTATAGGTGTTTAGGACTTCTTGCAGAAAGTAGATACTACTACCAATATTGTAGCATGTAAACATGTGCATCTCTCTGAAATCTTAGTTTGGATGAAGAGTTTCATTATGCTGTCAAAATGATGCCATTAATCTAGCAATTCCATTTTAATTTATGCAATTAACTTATACACAGATTTTCCTAATAAGAAAAAAAAGCATGCAGATTTCATACGAATATTCAAACATTAGAAATTAAACTGACTTTCAAAGTAAGCTGCAACCAAATGTATACGTACTCTGTAAATAAAGATCTATATGTTCTATACTGATGGAATTAATTGGGCTTTATGCTTACATGACTCAGTAAGAGTAAACACACTAGGCAAATAGTTTCCTTTTCTACAGCTTCCACCTTCTTCTAAATTACAGAAATAAAATTTTAATAGTTTGTTTTATTGTGGTGAAGAAAGAAAAAGAAATTAAGAATCCTTACCTTCACATCCCTGTGAATTATATTATTATCATGACAGTAACGCAGAGCTTCCAGTATCTGTCTCATGTAATGACTGAAAAAAAAAAAAGATATCCTACGTGACAAAACCACAGGAAAAATAACTATACACATATAACAAACTAAGTTTTAGAAGTTTAACTGTATAAAGCTAACCAACCAACTTAACCTTAAATATACAGATCTCAGTAGAATGGATTTTGTGTTTATCATAATGAATAACAAAATCTAAAGTTTTTGTATTATTCTGATTGACACCAAGGAAAATTAGAAATGAAAAATCTGCATTTTCCATTTTGTTAAGGTTTCAAATGTTCAATAATTCTGTGTCATATGACAAACAGGTCAGTTGCCCAGGGAAGGCGTGGAATCTGCATCTTTTGAGGTTTTCTAGAACCCACTGGACCAAGACTTGAGCAACATGATCCAAAGGTAATGTTGACCCTGTCTTGAGCAGAAGGTTGAAACAGAGACCTCTTGATGTCTCTTCCAACCTGGCTTCTGTGATGCTAGAAAATCTACCTCAAGAAAAGCAAACAAAGAACCTCTTGGTCTTTAAGCTCAATTATCATGCCACTAGGACATTTGGTTTTGTTGTCTTTCTGCAATGATATAGACTCTTTGACCTTAGTTGACCTTGTAAGTGAAAAGGTGAAGTGACCATAAATAAAGTGACATACAAAACAGAAAAAAGGAAAGAGGAAAGGGGGAAGGGCAGGAAAAGAAAAGATTACTCCACCTAGTATGGCCAATAAAACTCACACCTGTCAGGAAAATCACCTAATGCCATTGTATCAGAGAGCCATAAAAGCCAAAGCATTAAGTATTGGATGTGAAATACTATTTTACTCAATAATCCCATCCAAATGTACGACATTTCTAAACGACAAAATGCTCCAAAGTTCTACTTTTAAAAAAATGGTGATTAATACAATAAACATTCAGACTGTGAAAAAAGGGTTATTTAAAGTATTTCAACTTTTAGTTACCAGATTGTATAACAGTATATTCCATTATTTTCCATTTATCATGTTAT